CTTACCATTGTATTTAAGAAAATTTATTCCATAAGGTAAATATTCCATTTTTGCTTCGCTTTTAGTTTTTAACAATTTTACATTTCAATTTAATTTTATTACTTTCTCTAAGGTTGAAGTGTCATTTACTTAACAGCCAGCAGAAGGGTTATTAAATTTTCACCATGTACAGTTATGTACTTTGGTTGTAAGGTTGTATTAAACAAACTGAACACTGCAATTTTACATGTAGTTTCATTATTTTTCTCTCAAGTCCAGTGTCATTTGTCCCTTTCTTTTTAAACTGTGGCTTCTGTTCCTTTCTATCTTTCCTCCCTTTCCACTGATTAAACCATCATGTTTTGTTGTCTGAAACTCAAAGGAAAGGGTACTTTTGGGTGTAAGTTTTTAACCTTGAAAGAAGGATGTGTTGAGAAATTGTACCCCAAGAAGGGAATTTCATATGAAGAAAAGAGTCACGTTGTATAACTGGAGTTGTTTAGTATGAATCAAACTGCAAAGATAAAGCGATCTAATATGACTCAAGCCTCAGTTGACTTCAAAAGAATGAAGATTAGGGACTAAAAAAAACTTTCCCTTACTCTATCAGTTTCCTCAATTTGCACCCTTAAATGAGACAGCCAGCTTCTACACCCACATCACAGGGTAATTCCATCTCTCGACCTGGTGGGTGGAATGAAACTCAACTTTAGGGGTGCTGACAATGGTTAATTTAGGGGGGAAGTTTTTTCGAAGTATTAATGAATGTTCAGTACACATCTCCTCTTAAAAAGGACAGAGCTCAATGTATGTTCAGTCTTTGATAATAACAATCTTTCCCGCTGTTTCTCCATTGTTGTTCCTGTGATTTTTTTTTCGCTTTTTTTCTTTATTTGACGTACTTTACCCTATTTACCACGTCCTATCACTCCCCACCCCCTGCGGCCGTGGGTTGCCCCAGTCCTTTGTCGGCCGAAGGTACAAAATGGCTGCCAAGGATGGCGGGTTGGTGTTTGAAGAAACCAGCGAGTTTAAAAACCCAGAGGAACACTTTTTGCCGCCTGGATGGGAAATAAGAACAATGGACGATGGAAGGATCTATTATGCGAAGTGAGTCTTTTCCCGTAGCTTAATTCGTGATTTCAACCTAGTTTTATGAAAGGATCTGTTGCAAAACATTTTGTCCGGCTTACGGATGCAGGTTCCAGTATAGGAACTGAGTTGTAATCGTTATAAATTAGAGGGTTTTTGAGAAAAAGATATTTATATTAATTCATAAGGTACATTTTTCCTTTTCTGTATAAATTTTTGTCGAACATAACGTCCTACAAACTCGCTTTTAATTTTTTCTTAATGTAAACAATGATATTGGACGTTTTATTGTTGGTCTCGCTCAATTAATTTGTGACAAATTAAACATTTGCTTACCTTATTCTTAATAAAAATTTAATTTTTATAGTCATTTGACAAAATCAACTCAGTGGGAACATCCAACGTCGGGAAAAAGATACAAAGTCTGTGGAGGTATTTCAAATTACATGATTTACAAATTAAATTGTTAATTATGTCAAACCTTTCAACCTTAAAAGCGTATAAAATGTAATTTCTTCTTGAAATGTCAATAGAGCACTCAGAAAGGTAACGAGAATTGCCAGTTTTTCTGCAAGGTGTTATCTCCATACCCAAAAACTCTTCTAATCGGTTTACAAAGGAATGTTGAGAAATGGAAATGGAGATTTCCTGATCAGATTTTGATGCTCTGATAGGGCTTACAAATAGATTACCATTTTTTTCATTTATTTTTGTAGAGCTTCCACAAGGCTGGCAACAATTGTATGACAGTAAAGGGAGTGTTTTCTTTTTTGAGTGAGTAATTTAATCTCTTTGAAATCATATCACAGAGATACTATCCTCTGGAAATGTTAAGTATTTGGAGCTGTTTGACCCATTACCCAATTTTATTTTTAAAAACTTGAAATTAGAAATGACTGCTTTGTTGCAATCTCTGACCATAAACTGAAAGTCACTCGTCATGTAGATGCACATGTCTGGATTAAGTCCCCCAAAAATTCTTTTGAAACAATCATCCCTAAGAAGAAAATCTGTCACTGGTAACAATTTTTTGGTACAGATGAAATATCCCTTGATTTCACTTTTACATGCAAACATATTCCGAGATTTACTATTTTATGGAAAATTTAACAAGGTGTTGATCTGGAGATTTTTTTGGTATCCTAAAGACTTCTTGTCGTCGTGGGAGAGCTGACATATATCCAAGTTCTCATCTTGTGTTATGGTAGGATCCATTCTTAAAGATAATTTAGTCTCCATTGATTGATTGGTACAATCTTTTAACAGTTCTGTGAATAGAGTAACCACTTATGCTGACCCAAGAATAGCCCTGAACTTCACCAAAAGTAAAAAAAATTCAAAAAAGTTGGATAGTCACTCTACGGCCATGCATGTGTTAAATGGAGAGGACTTGAGTGGAAAGGTTGCCATTGTGACAGGAGCCAATAGTGGCATAGGTTAGCACATTTAACACATTCTGTTCAGGAACCATTTTAAAATAAAACTGAACCTTTCCTGAAGGCCAGCTATCTGCAACAAGCATCGTTTCTTTCACTCTCAGATTACTATTATCACACCAAACCTCTCTTCAATGGCCATCTTTCTACATGTAGAAATTAACTATAATTGTCCTTTGATTTACCTTAAGCATGTACTAGTTGGATCATTACATCTCAATGCCCTCTCTTCTTACCTGGTTTAAAACATTCCTTTGTTTGATCTCATCCATGTTTTTAAGCCAACAAAAACTGTAGCTACATGAAGTAATGATTAACCCTTTAACTCCCAAGATCTGATTGTTAATTCTCTCCTCCAGCTGCTACACATTTCATTGTAAATTGGTTACGAAAATTTGGTGTTCAATCTAGATAATATCATGTACCTGATAAGTTTGAGTAATCTCACTACCTGTTTGTTGGATAATGTAAAAATTTAACAAGGAGAGGTTACATGTTAATCACTTCTGGGAGTCGAAAGGTTAAGTCCTACCCAGGTAGTGAGGCAGTATTCAATTGATTTTTATCCTATTTTAAAATTTTGCTCCTCTTAACCCTTAAACTCCCAAGATCTCATTAGTAATTCTCTTTACTGTCTGCCATATAAATATTGCAATATTAGTTTGGAGTATTTGGTATTGGATCAACTAACAATCCCCTAATTTATATCTTTCTTTGTCCTCGTCACTTGTCTTCTTGATATTGTATTGATATTTTAAGGAGAAATTCTGTCTTGGTCTCTTATGGGAGTTAAAGGATTAAACTAATGAAATCTTTTTTGTTTGTTTTGTTTTTTTTTTTTTTTAATCATTAGTTCATTTTTTATTTGTTGTTTATTGAATTTCTAACACTTATTATTAGGTTTTGAGACTGCCAAGGCACTGGCACTTCACGGAGCTCATGTGATCTTAGCTTGTAGGAACATGAACAAAGCAAACAGGGCAGCAGCTATGATCAGACAAGTACAGGTCATTAACTGAAATGTTTACTCTTGTTAATTTCTTTCCTATGAATATTTTACTGTTTATTTTCCATACTCTTAGATATTTCCATTACTTAAATAAATTCAAATTGTCAGTGTCATGATATTACCAGAAGGCTCCATTTTAGGTCAGCAGTCATCATATTACTAGTACCCAGGGCACTGCATACAAAAAGGGTGAATCATTATGCACTTGTGGTGTGACTTAGTTTAGTTTTGTTCTTCTTGCTTGGCAATAAAACATGCATGTTCTCACAATCTTCATCTCCTGTTCTTGATCAAGAAGCACAATGGTCATTCCTACTGTACTTTCAATATTTAATTTTATATGTACATTAATGGAGATGTATTTTCAGAATTTCTTATAAGTTTTGTTATTAAGTTATATCAAGCATGTGGGAATTAAAACCAGTACATTCAGCAAACTTTCCTAGTTTTAAAATATAGTTTTATTTTCTTACTTCCTCAAATGCTGTAGACCCCTGAGGCTTATGTGGAAGCCATGTTGCTAGACCTGGCATCATTTACAAGTATCAAAAACTTTGCAGAAGAATTTAGAGGGCGGAAACTGTGAGTGAAACCCCGCTCTAAATCAATTATTTAACCATTTTGGCAGAAGACAATATTTTAAAGAAAGGAATGTGCTGTGTGCAATTTTCAAAAACTGAGTAAGAGTTTGAAAATGCAAAAAGTGCACACAAAGTGTAAACTAGTTAACTTGATTAAGAAAAGCAAAGGAGGAGTCCTTATCCTGTTTCATGCATTAATTTTTAGAAAAATTCACAAATCACATGTACCTAAACAGCTTTTTATCTTTCATTCATTTGCCAAATTTCTCTTAAAATTTTACAGTTTCTTCTTCAAGTTGGTAATTCTAAATGTATAATTTTATTTCTCAAATTTGTGATTTTTTCCAGTCCTCTTCACATTCTTATTTGTAATGCTGCTGTATTTGGTTTATCATGGAGCAAGACAGAGGATGGAATTGAGAGCACTTTTGGTGTCAATCATCTTGGCCATTTCTACCTTGTGAAGTTGATTGAAGACATTCTTTGCTCATCATCTCCTGCCAGAGTTGTAGTTTTGTCTTCAGAGTCTCACAGGTGAGAGAAATCTGTGTTCATTTCACCAAATCACAGTTTGGGCTTTTGTGCAGTGTAAGTTAGCCATAATGACTCTGTTGTTTTTGTGTCCCTCAGTTTCCAATTTGGAAGGGCTAGCTCCAAAAAGCAATATACCTGTACTGTAGAAAACACTGAATAGTAATTTTGAGAGAAATAGGAAAATAACGAGAAAAGTCAGCTAATTTCAAGTATTGTAGCAGTACTGTGTTATTGTTTCATATTATACTGATAACTTTTTGCTGATAAATCCTGGCAACATTAATTAAGAAGTGCAAAGCTTTGGAACTCCATATCTGTAGAGAAAGTAAAAATTAAGGAGAATCTTGATATTTGATCATTTGATTTTTGAATGTGGAAAATAAATAATGCAATCTGGGTTCAACTTGGTAAAAAAAAACAACAACAAAAACTTTTGAGAAAAATTAATTTTTTTTCTCTGAAACAAAAGATGTATTTTGAGTTTATTTGGATGATAAGTTATCGATTAAGTCTTTTCTCCTTCTTTAGGTTTCCTGACCTAACCTACTCTACGAAGTTACCTTTGTCAGAGCTACCCCTTTCTAAAGATAAATACTGGTCCATTGTGGCATATAATCAATCCAAACTCTGTAACTTGCTCTTTTCCATGGAACTGAATCGTCGCTTGAAACCAAAAGGAGTGACATGTAATGCTGTACATCCTGGGAACTTGATTTACACTTCATTGTCTCATACCTCGTGGTTCTATTGGATCTTCTTTGTCATGGCCAGACCATTTGCAAAGACACCAGTAAGTTCTAAGTTTTGTAATACACAATAATAAACTTGAAGGACTTCAGGCCAATCTATAGTGGCTGTGCAAGTGGTACCTTGTGGTACCTTGTGGTACCTTGTGGTACCTTGTGGTACCTTGTGGTACCTTGTGGTACCTTGTGGTACCTTGTGGTACCTTGTGGTACCTTGTGGTACCTTGTGGTACCTTGTGGTACCTTGTGGTACCTTGTGGTACCTGTAGCTCTAATCAGGAATGTCATTCTAAGCACCTCACCTCCTCTGGGAAGAGAGGAAGGGAGAGAGGTGGTGTTTTAGAGAGGAAGGGGCATTACCTGTGTTTTCTGCCAGGTTGAAAGTTTTTGTTTTTGAAATTGGTAATGGGAGCATTCGAGTGGTCATTGTGGAAAAGTTTAACTCTTTAACTCCCACAATTGATTAACATACCTGTACTTGTAACTTCTCCCTACAATATCCATACATTATCCAGCAAACCTGTTATGAGAATACTCAAACTTGTAGGTAGAAGTTATCTTAATCTAACACCAAATTCTCATAACTAATTTACAAGGAAATGTATAGCTGATAGAAGGAAGAATTAAGAATCAAATTTTGGGAGTTAAAAGGTTAATAAATAGTTAACAAATGAGCTGAAAATGTGGCTGTTACAGGGAGGAGGTTGTTAGTAATGGGCCTTGTGTTTTTTACAAGAGACCTCCTTAACATTAAACTTGTCTAACTTACCTTCCTTTTTCCAGGCACAAGGTGCAGCCACTGTTGTGTACTGTGCAACATCCAAAGAGCTTAATAAAGTAGGAGGGCATTATTTTAATAACTGTAGTGTGTGCAAGCCATCAGATGAAGCTAAGAATCCTGAAACAGCTGCCAAGCTTTGGAAACTGAGTGAAAGGCTTGTCAGGCAGATAACATTAAATGATTCACAAGTTGTGGACTTGTAGTCAATGGTTGGTTGACTCTGACTTGTTAAGGCCTAAGCCATGCTGAAAGCAGCAAGCTGCCATGATAATGGCAGGTTTGTATAGAAATACTGAAGAGCAAGTGTTTCAAGTTAAAGAACACCTGTTGTTGAAAGAGGCAACAAGAGAAAATCTCAGTTTAATGTAATACAATTGCTCAGGTGATTATAGAAATATGTTTGTGCTGACTACTGGAGGATTATCTTGCCATAAAAACTATACACAAAGTGATAGCAATATGGAAGTGCTAACTTTCAAAATGCCCATTCCATGATTGTTTAGGTTTATGACAATGAAAACGAAAGAAAATATGGTTATTGGGTTCCTGAACTGAATTTTTAATTGTATTATTCTCCTCAGGTGGAGCCAAAATAGATTAGTAATTCCTTCAACTTCAGCTTAGAGATTATTCAACAGTAATTTCTTAGCCCTCAAGAAGTTATGAACACTGCATCAAAGGGACAAGATGGACTTTTCAGTAAAAAAACTAAACCAGACAAAGTGAATCAACATTTATTAATCACAAAGTCATAAAAATTATCATGTAATGGTTAAGTTAACCATTTGACTCTGAAACTTAATTGTTCATTTTAATTGGACATTTAGATATAAGAATGCCACATGATGGTAGAACATTTTTTTTCAATGAAAATCCAACACCATAAAGATGGAAACCAGATACAGTATTGTTACCAATATTTATTGTAAAGACAACCCATATTAAATTATTAAAACATTTTTTTTATATTTCAACTTAAATTTGGGTTTTATTTCTCTTCCTGACTTAATAAACATTGAATCCAGTTAAGTTCAACCCCAGGGAAGGGGTGGTGTAGTTTACTTCACAGCTCAAACTCAGGCCATTTCTGCACTATTCCACTATCAAAGGAAAAAGTTTGTGTTTAAGATGGTAGAAATTGTCTCCACCCTTGATAATTTACCTATCAACAAGGAATTTTTCTTTCACTCTTATTGATGATGCACTCAAGCCATGTGCGTATACCACATCTCCTCAAATAAGTGCCCACACTCTAAGAAGTCCCCACCCCCCAATAAGTACCTAAGTACCCCTCTCTAATGAACCCCCCCCCTTCCCCACCTCCTCCCTCACTGTTTCTATTTCCACTTTCTTCATAACCTTTTAAGCTTCAATTACAATCTGGAATCAGTATAGGGGAATAGTTTCTTTTCCATTCCACTTATTTCTATCTCCATGTGCTTTACATTTATGTACATCATCTGTTTTAATCTTTGTCCTATTGCTGCACTAACTTCATAATTATCCCTCCTGGATAAAACACCCTCCTTTCAAAAAGCTTCCCTCCACTTAGCCAAAATTTTAAGTTTATTCAAGGAAATATAGCATATATCAAGAGAAAATTAGAGGATGGGAATCAGGGCATTAGCCCTCTATCTAAATAAAAGTTTGTTATCACAGACATCCACTTTGAGAGTCACAATTTCTCTTCTTTCTACAGTAGTTTCCTTGGAAGAAATTACACTTTACTTAACAGTAGACTTTACAAGTAGGTAATTTTACCCACTAAATTTCTTTCACTAAGAATATCTGATTAAGATTGACCTTTGTGCAGAACCATCTCTGAGGTGAAAACAAACCAATGTATGGGAGACTTAATAAATAACTAACTTAAAGTGAAACTGACACAACACAAACCAAGGCCTGAATTACTCATCAGTAACATTACACTTTTCTTTGAAGTCATCTACCAGTAAGGATTCTCTCTTGTCCCACAATTCTTGGAGTCGTGGATCAAGATTTTTAGCAAGGACCATCTCATCAATCTCATTGTGACTGAAATTTTTATACTTTTCATCCTCTCCTTGTTGTTTAACGAGTTTCCAGATGATGTTGGCTTTATCTTTCTCTTCATTGGTTAAGTAATTTTTACCAACACCAAGAGTAGCATATTCAATTGAGTATACACTAATAAAACGCTGAAGAAAAAGATGAATAATTCTTAATACCTATCAAGAGTCATTGTATTAATATATTTATAGTAAGTAAGGTTAAAAAAAAATGCTATGTAAGGTTAAGTCTGTACTCAAACCAAGTGGCCAACCCAGCCACAGCTTATCCAGGTTTCCTTGGCATGAAGTGATTAGGAGCATCACTACTCCCTCCTGGATGCAATGCTAGTCCATCAGATGCATTTCCTTAGACTTACCCCACTATTCTCCAAAACCCATTCACACTCCTGGGGTAGAAAGCAGCACTGTAAGAGTGAAGTGTTTTGTCCAAGAATACAACACATTCACCCGGCCAAGTCTCAAAGCCAAACCTCTTGACTCAGACTCCAGCACACTAACCATAAGATCACTACTTCTCCCACATCATTTTAACCCTTTACACCTGAACATCATGATGCATATTCTCCATACTGTTCTCCATACATTTCTTTAAGTGCTAACAAGGAGAACTTGTTGAACAATCAAGAGCTTCTTTGGTTGGTGATCATTTCCTTTATTCTCATGACCTTAATGTATGATTCAGAGGTGATACTGTAAGGAGAAATTAGATGCTAGTCACTCTTAGGGGTTAAAGGGTTAATACACCAATCACCAATTATCAAAAGTCATAAATATTTGTAATAATGATCAATGGGGGTAAGGACCTGCCTCTTTCCCTTATTGTGTCTCAAATAATTGATATAACTGAATTTTCTTTTCCAAAAAATTAAATTTTTGTTGTCATTTTCTCAGATTATGATAATAGATTAAGGCAAAAGAAAATAAAAATTTAACATGCACCTTCCTCCTCAACCTCTTACACTTCTCCTGATAACCTAAGATGCCTGCTCAACAAATTTGTGGACATTTGATTGTGTCTCATTGTCTTGGTGAGAGAAGTCCTGAGAAGGAATCAGTTACCATCAATAGTCAAGCCAACATTTCAACAACCTTGGCAGAAGTCATCGTGAGGGTCAATTCAGACACTACTATCTATAACTGTATGGTCCTTTTCAGAGATGCTATCACCTGGATGATCAGAGTACATGGTCATCTGTTACTCTTAGGTTCCAGCAAACCAGTTGTTGTATGGCCTTTGTACAGAAAGAGGTGCACAAAACTTAAAGCTTAGACCATCTTTTTTATTACAAGACTGTTACCTTTTCATTAAAGCCTTTACTGGAAGTTCCCAGACCAAAGCTTTGTGCAATGTCATGAACTTGTTTCCGCTGTGATTTTTCAAGATCTGGTGGAAATTGCAACTCAGCACTCTGGTCTTTCCAACCTATTTCTCGGAACCACTACGGAAAAAAAAAGGAAAACAGGCTATTAAAACCCACATAGACAGAGCTGAAATGTAGCCTTGGAAACAACATTTTGATAACTTAATTCAACCTGATTAAATTATTGGCTATCAAATTGTGGCTAATGCAATTTTTTTACAAGTCTCTAATCAACTGTCAAAAGGCAAAAGCTGTCACGTAAATAAATCTTTTTCCATTAGTATCCTAAACTATCACCAATTGCACTGAAGAACTTCCTTGGTTTTTCACTGTTGGCAAAAAGCCTAACAATGACAGTGTGTTTTTAAATGATAATTGAAAGCCACAGATTTTTTTCATCGTGTGGGTCAACTTACCAGCATCAATTTTCGCAGTTCCCTTTCTTTAAAAGGAAATTCAAACTGCTGAATGTTTGAGTTACTCTCGTCCTTGCCTGTTATTTCAGGAAACGGAAGGTCACCTGAAAATCAATTTCACATGCTGTATAAATTTTGAAAAGTTGTAATAGAGACAAACTATTTTCAATGTTTGAATGATAAAAATCTTCTTTGTACCTGGATGCTGCTTTGTGGAAAAACTTATGAGCATGCGAGGGGGAAAAGGAATGCGTAGGAGAAAGAGTGTTGATCTTACTTCTTCCACTCATGCCTCAAACTCATCACTAGTCCCTGGTTCCTCAGAGAAAGATGTGAAATGTCCAAGAAGAAAGCTGATAGAACTCCTTCCTTAAGAGCAGATTTTTTTCCCTTTATGTTAATTGCACAATGATTTCAATTACGTTTAAGAAAAATACTCTTTTTATAATAATTTCTTTCATTACAATGGGATACTCTTTTACTGGGTGACCAGAGTTAACTGTTAAAGACCACAAACAAAATGGTTCATAACAATTGTCAATGATTACATTGATTCTGAGGGCTGAGAAAAAGTATAGGCTGGGGTAATAACAAGATAAGCTACATGAATACCTTTGTTCACCTTCATGAAAATGTAGACAGTTCCTGGTAATGGATTTTTTAAAATTAAAATTTGAATATAGTATAATTACACAAGTACATACAGCATACTGAGATTTGTCAAAATTGTTGATGTAAACTGTAAAGCAATAACAATATTGCAAAATTACTTTTTCTGACTTAGACTCACTGTAATTATTTTTTGACCCCAGTTTCACAGTAAAAATTGAATCTTGAACAAGGTCATCTAATCTCCTAGTTGACTCTGCTGCTGCTCCTGCTGATCCTTTACTCTTAGACAAAGGAGGAACATATCGCTTACTAGTGGCCATGATCTTCTTAAACCCAGGGAAATGGCCTAGGCTAGAAAGAAATCCCACTGAATACAGTATGGCTAACTGGACCAAGGTTTTGTTTCTGGAGAAAAGGAAATAAATATTTAGATCAAAATATAACAGGATTCATACATTCACCTGTTTGCACCAAATCTCTCACAGTGCTCAGTTTTAAGGTTTGTTGGTTTAGATCACAAGAGAAGTGATTGGAGAACAGACAATTGGAGAATTGGAGAAAAGACAATTTCTGATTTTCTAAGGATGCTGTGTCCAAAACAGACACCTTTCTCTACCAAGATTCCACAAGGTACACCTGTAAAAGTGATTTGAGGTTGTTGAGGATATGAAAGCTAGTAAAAAGGCTGTTGATATTACTTTTAATCACTCGTAAACCAAATTTTTTTTGTGTCTTTCCTCTATCAAACAACATTTATTAAGGAGAAAAAAATTTTCAGTGGCTTACTGTGTTCTTACTAAAGGTACGTATCCGTGAACTAAGTATCCTTTGAGTCAAAATTGTTGATAACTTTGAACCTCGTCCTAACTGTTGGGCTTCTTTTCCAGGCAGAATATACCCGTAAAACATGGTTTTCCGTAGTGGCCTCGAAAAATTTAATGGGGTATTGCACCTGAAAAGACTCATGATAATTCATAAAAATTCGATCTCCTTTCAATTCAGCGCCACATTTGCACAAAGAAAAGCAGATCGCTGCGTCGTACGAGCAAGTTGTTATCTGTTCCTTGCAGTTCAGCAACACCTTGTTGAAAAGAACGTTCAGTTATAAAAGGAACACTCACCGAGTAACAAACTGTACACTGCCGAAGCTCTTGAGGGAGGTCAAAACGAGTAAAAGACACAACCACTCTCAACTTCCGTCATGACAGGAGCAGAAATAAACAGGCGTTCCACGGGAATGTAACGCCTGAAGGGGAGTGGTACCTAGTTGTCATTTTGTTTACATGACGAAAAATATCCAGTAATTAGGTTTGATCTGCACATCGTGTAAAATTTGAACAAAAAATTTGTTTATTCGAAAAGAGAGCATTTTACTATTTCAATCAGCGAATAATGCCCAAATGAGCCGCCAAGTTCGCGAGTTCAACGGGGTGACCCTATATGATGGAATGATGGAGTAGCGGAATGGCGGAATCCAACAACGTGGAATGCCTCGATGTACGAAATTAAAGTCTTACCAAAATAGGATTGCTGATTAAATAAGAAAATTATTTATGATTAACAGGCAAAATGAAAGGAAGCCTAGTTAAATCATTATTGGATCCCAGTGGATCTTAAGTTAGTCCCTATAAGTTATCATGACCATTACTATTGTTATAAATATTATTATTATTATTATTGGTCGCATGATTGTTTGTTACCATTTAATTATTGGTTGAGTGTCAGTTAGTCACTATATTAGCGTTGTGATTTTCTTGTTTAAGTTTTGCTTTTTTGTTTGTATTACGGTTTTTTTAATATAGTAATGTGTCACTTTTTGTTTGTGTTTTCTTTCTTTGTTCGCGTTGGCCCTTCTGGGTCACCGCACTATATTCTTGAATCATCTTCCTCATGTGGAACAAGGTACTCATAAATATGTAAAACGCGGTAGGTTTTTCTGTTTTGTTACAAATCCTTTGCAACTCTACCTTCTGGCATCATTATTCTAGTTTTTTTTTAATACTATAAAAGTTTTGCTTCATATCAGTATCCACATGCAGTCTTGCCTATTATTTTTGTGTCCCGCCTAATTTAATGTAATCACACCTCGATGCAATTTAAGGTAAGTCAAGTAAAGAATGGCTGAGAAACAATCTCTACTTCTTCTCACAAACCTTAAACCGATAGCTTAAGTTTGTCGCACAGGAAAAGTTACCATAACCTATGTCCAAACGAATTCGGCTAGCTATGATCGTGAAACAAATTTTTGTCTGTTTTCTGTCAGTAGACAGGAATGAAACTAAATAATAAATTGTCTCCTTGGTTAATTTCTGTATCTAAGGAAATTGTTCTTGCAAAAATTGTCAACCATGTCCCTCTACCACTACCAATGTTTCTATGTACTAAGTGACGGACAATCGACTCTCGATTTAAAAAAAACCGTTACTCCAGATGATGACACAGAGTGACCCACAAAACAATGATAAAAAGCGTACGTTTTTGATTGTTTCAAACGAACCAGTGTGAGTTATCGTTTAGCTCAATTCCAGTGCGCTCGAGGACTAGCGAAAAAATCGTCTTCGTCGCAGTTCAAGTAATTTGCCTAATTAATTTTCCATTTAAATGGATTACCATATATGGGTTGACCTCCAATTATCACAGACAGACTACAAACTCCAGGTTGCCTTGGGCAATAAATGAAAGTACATGACCCATCACCAGCATCTTACGCTGCAAGTTCTCGCCGACATTCACGGTGGAATGCAAGCTCCTTAGCACTTCTGTAAGCTTCGTAGCCTTCTTTGACTGAACAGGACTTAATTGAACCTGAATGTTCACTTTGTGTCTACCTTCTGTAACTCTATAACTGCTTTCATCCTTGATGATAACTGTGAAATACACAAAGAGCAACTTCTTCTCGGACATATATATCCATCTGTTCACCTTCCTTGTTAATGGGCGTAGTTCCCCTCATCCTTAATCGACCTACTCACTTCAAGTTTCATATAATCATCCTGACAGGGTTTTAACCGGTATTTTGAAGAATTAAGCTGGGAAAGTCGATGGACAAGTTGTGACTTCGCCTTTAAAAATGAGGATACTACTAAAGGACGGTGAGAGAATGAATGATAAGGCTATCTTAAGTTAAAAGCATGTCGAAATAACTCCACGTGACAAGTGCAACCATCAGAAATTAAACCTTATCATCGTTTTCCAATACACGGAGATTCAAATAACCTCATACGCTTGTATAATACAGGTACTGATCAGCGATCTCATCAATTTCGCACTAATGTTAAACATGATAAATTTAAGTTCGCAAGGCAACCAGGAGGACAATCAGACATGGTTTGATGCCACTCTGGTTTAAAGGTTTAACGAATGTAACCAAGAAGATAGAGACTTGCCCTTTCTTGATTTAAATGTGTGCAGGGGAATTTAGAGACAAGTGTTTATCGTTAACCTACCCACACCGACAAATACCTCGCTTTCGACTCTCACCACCCTATTTGCCATAAAAAGTCTATGGCTAAAACTTTACTCAGGAGGGCTGACTGTCTACCATCTTCACTTGATTCGAAGGCTGATGAGAGAAAATATGTTGCAGACGTCCTAAAGGTAAATGGCTAAACCAAAACATTTATCCGTAGCTGCCAGAAACCAGTAACAACTAGTAACACTCCTGATAAGAAAGAACCAGCGACTGGTTTTGCTCTTATTCCTTACATTCGGGGTGTTACGGAACCCATCAAGAGAAGTTAAGTAGCCACAACATTAACGTTTCTCAAAAACCTTTTCAGACTTTAGGGCATACTTTTGCCCAACCTAAGGATCCTGTTACAAAAGAACAACGAACTGAAGCTATTTATTCTATTCCGTAAAATGATTATGATCACGAGCATATCGGACAGACCAAACGTCAGTTTGGTACACGCTTGAAAGAACATCAAAAAGCAGTCTTCTCTTGCGCAAAAGAAAATTCAGCTTTATCGGAGCACTCATGTCTAACGAACCATGTAAACTGTCAACCATGTCTCGTATTGTCCTTCAACCACTACCAATGTTTCTATGTACTAAGTGACGGATATTTGACTCTCGATCAAAAAAAAATAAAGCAAGCTGTTTTCCAGCTGATGACACAGGGTGGTAATATATCTCTTAAACAGAGTTTTTGTGACCCAAAAAACAATGAGGAAGCGTGGGTCTCAGATTGTTTCAAATGAACCTGTGTGAGTAATCATGATCACTTAGCTCGATTCCTATTCGCCCTATTTTTTTAATAAGTCACACCACGTCTACCGAGTCTTCGGTCACGTTCCTGGTCGACCTGCCACTGAAATGGACTTCCATAGATGGGTTGACCCTCAACGATCACTGACAAACTGCAAAGTCCAGGTTGCACTGGACAATAATTGAAAGTATATGACCCATCACCATTATCTCGCACTGCAAGTGCTTCCCCTTGCAAATAACCAGTGAATGCAGGATAAATTTCCGGAAATTGAACTTGAACGCTGACTTTGTATCCACCTTCTGTAACTCTATCACCGCTTTCATCCTTGACGATAACTATGAAATGCACGTCTTCATTGATGCTGGTCGAATATATATATCCTTCTTCTCTCCCTCCCATACTAATGGTGCACCTTTGGGGGTCACACTGTTTGTACATCACTTGCGCCAATTCCCCCTCATCCTTAATCGATCTTTTCACTTGAAGCTTCATATAATCATTCTGACAGGGTTTCAACTGGTCTTGTGAAGAATTGAGCTGAGAAAGTCGCTTGATAAGTTGTGTCTTCATGGACAAGAGCTTTACGTCATCTCCATCTGCTATGGCCTGACCGGTGAAATCAATGCCACTTCTCAACTGGGCCAAAAGGGAGGAAAGATCGTCTGCCTGACTGTCGAGCTGCTTTACTTTAACTTGGCCTTGTGTTGTAGCTTTATGCTTCAGGTGTGCACGGTGTTCTTCTAGTACCTTCACTTGCTCATCAATGAAAGAGTCCACCTGTTTGTTGACCTCTGAGACTTTAGTTAAGACACGGCTTTTCATGTTTTGTACTGCTTTCAGACCCTCCCCGACTGCCTTTTCTTTAGTTGTACATTTCTCAAGAATAGCGCGCACAGAACGTCTTTCCTTTTCAGCAATATCAGCCACAAAGTCATACTTGTGCTCTCGGTGATCAACAATGGTGCAGTCTCGGCAGATTGTTTTCTGGCACGTTTGGCAAAAGAGCTTGACTAACTCCCCACCATGCTTTTCGCAGAATGCTGGCTTGACAAGAGCCTTTGAGCCAACTCTTTTGACTTCCTCCAGGGATAAGATCTTGTGACCCTTGAATGCATTGATCCTTTTATGTGCAGTGACACAAAACTCGCACATGAAAACACAGCAGTTGGTACATCGGGACACAGCTGGATCCCCACTGTCGCAATGCTCACACACCAGTGGCTTTTTGGATGAAGACATGTTACTGTCCTGCATGCTTAGCAAGGTCATAAAATTATTCACCCAGAAATTTGACTGCAGCTTGCCAACATCTCCATTAGTTATCTATTTGAGAGTAAGTGCAAACTTTAAGATATTTTATAGATAAACTCGCTGATATGCACAGATCAAATCGTGCGTTAGTTCATTTCTTATACATTTTTTAAAAGTTTGACTAATTTCTTCGGTGAAACTGCACCCTAATTCAAGTCAGTGTACGAAACGGCCTTAAAGATGTGAAATGTACATTGACCAACAGAACATTCTAGAAATCACAGTGTCATGAATAGTTCGATATCGTGCATGTCTTTCAGTATTCGCGATTTTTGAGAGCATGTAATCTGCAATGTAGATTGTCCCGATGAATTATTGAGATAACACCATTGTCATCTTTTTATCTGCTTATTACCCTCAATTTTTTTTTTTCAAAATAAGACCAAATAATGTTAACTGTAGAAATAGACTGAAAAAACTTCAACTACGGAACTTGTTTGTTCAAGTGCCTCATTTTGGTGCTCAGAACAAGCTTCGAGCATTGACACCTAAACAAAACTATTTTTCTTCCTGTTCTTCTACTTCTTACTTTTCAGTTAAAACATATGAATATTCTCTTAACATGATTTCCTCATAATATTTTGAGTTGGTACCAATTTCAGAATAAACCAGAAAATGAATGTTCTATTTTTTTTAAGTCCACTCACACTTCCCCTCTCAATCTAACCTTCAGTAAGCATTCCGAGTGAGACATGAACTGAGTGGTAAAAGTAGGGGGTACTTAGTCCAGGACCTCGAGGTGGAATTCAAGTGCTGGACAAAAGGAAATCACCATTCTTTTCAAATGCAGCTTGCACAAGGAGCAGTTCCTTAGCAGTTTTCACGAGCGTGTGTTTATAAAAATCTTCCTCGTGGGGGAGGGGGAGGGAGGGACCTAGATGTTTTTCTACGTCCTACGCTCACAGAAAAACGTATGAAATCTTTCTGTATTCCGCAACGCCCTCAACATTGCTGATCTAAGCATTATGCAGAACTCTTGTCGCATATGGACCTAATAATGGTCTTATTCATCAAAGGGTTCTCTGTGGATCAGTGGTCGAGCATAATAGCGCGCAATCCAAATGTCCGAGGTTCGATTTCTCGAGAAAAATTATATTGGCTTACGTTTGTGACTACACAAGTAACATCTTTCATTATTATTGAACTTACTTTAACTTCCTGTCGGCACTCTGGGCAGGTTATGATATGATTACGTCCCTTTTTTTTCACTAGTTTCACAAGGCACCCTTTACAGTAGGTGTGCAAGCATGGCAGAACTTTCGGTTCCTTGAATTGTTCAAAACAGACGGCACAGCACAGCTGCTTATTAATTTCCTCAGGCTGAGCACAGGCCATGTCGAGTCTGAAAAATTCAATTCAAACTGAATACCTCATCTATTTTCAAGTTGACTGAACATATGCAACAAAAACATATTTGAAGGAATTATCTCTGACGTCTGATTAATACTGATAAGTACCGTAAAGTCCTCCCCCAACCTAACCTCCCCCCCCTCAAAAATACAATTAGATACTAGTCTATTTTGTAAAGTATTCGCCTTCATTTTCATTTGTTCTTCGTCATTTAAAATACTTACTAATACGCTGAATTATAAACAACATTCATAACACTTTAAGACACAGGCTATGAAGTAGCAAGCAACACTGTTTTACAGCGTATTTCGATGAATATAAACATCCTGTTGAACACCTGTTTGAATTTTTAAAAATTCTGTTATACCGCGAAAAGACTTGTTTGTTGTTTTGATTTCTTGTTCAGTGGACCCTACTTAATCGGTAATCCGTGTCATCCTTCTCTGAACTAAATTTAGCTTATGCTACTGACAAAACTTCATTAGTGCGCAAGAGAGGATTTGGAAAGAGAGGTTTCTAACTTCATAGTGAAGACTTGAAACTATAACATATTGAAAACGAATAAACATACGATGAGCAAGTGAAGGCACATTAGAACTGGAGGATTAGCGGTAAATCAACCTTATTCACAATACATGCAAGAATGTCATGTGTCTTTGTGAGTTGTTCAGTTATGTGTGTAAATCATGCACAGTGCTGGTGTTTCATCAACTTTTCAATGCGTTGTTTTTTCATATATTTTCGTGCTGTTCTGGTGCACGTGGCTCCCTCATATCCCCCAAAATTTTGGAATACATCACTTCTGTATAGTCGAGTTATCTACAACTGATGCATGGTTAGTTACAGTTGGCTGAGTTCTGAATTTCTACTTCAACATTTCGACGAATTTACCTTGAATTAAACGTTCTCCATTCTTCTCAATAGTCAAAGTGAAACACTCGCTTGCGTGATGTGATTCCCCTTGCACTTATATCGTAGTCTGGCTAACATCTGATTGCTTTAGAACGTAAACGAGCATAGTGGAGGCTACTTTACTTGTTTATGTACAGCTTGCTTTTACGTTTGGCCTCCGTCTTAGGCTAGATTCGTTCACGCAGGAGAGTAGCAAATGAAACGCCCAGTTTATAGATTTACATCACCTTTCTCGGTTCGAAACGCACTGAATAAACTAAACTTTAGGGATTAAGAAGGAAAAGTTGGAGAAGAAGAGTATCTGTAAGCTTACTTGAAACGATATGGAACACAACAGTGTAGTTTGTTCTCATAGATACTCTAGCACATTTTCTACCGCTGAGAAAGAGTGCTACACTCCTAAGCTAACGGATAATTAGCATACTAGAATGTAGTCGCACCAAATAAAAGGAACTTACCTCTGTAATTAGAAAGTTCAAAGGCTCGACCAACACCGTTAGTGTGCTTCACTGATTTCAACGCATTACGACTGCTGATCATCGCTACACACTATTGACCGACAGAGCCGAATAACATCTCCGCATGCGCAAGACTTTGGAGTGAAACGAATTTTGAGTCGTTTGCATGTTTTATTTGCCATTGTGTTTTTTCGAGGTGTTGTTTCCCTTGCCGTTTTTCTTTTACAGAACAACCCTCTAAAACTTTGTATACTCCCTTGACATTTTCAAAAGTTAATTTTCTCTTTAAAATCACTGGAAATAGGAAAATGCCTTCAACAAGACTAGAATGACTCGGTTTAAATGCTAGCCCCTTTTTTTCCACAAATTTCGCTGAACCTGAAACCTCGTGCACTTGAGCCTGCGTTATTGACCGCATAGCTCTGACGTAGCATTCGTTGTTCAACTCTGTCCTATGGGCCATTTTTCAAATGATAATTCATTTGAAGGGAATTTTCGCATTGGGCGATTTTGCCACGGAGATGAAAGGTGTTATTTACATCTAGTGGAAGTTTTGATATTTGTCATCCAACCATGCATCACTTATTCGCGCGAGCGCGAAAAGCTCATTTTTGCTGTTGTCTCATAAAAGTCGTTGTCCTTTCCTTTCAATTAAAACTTCATCATTTGATTTTGCGGCTTGCCAATGGTCACTGGTGGAGCTCTTCAGCGATTTTGAAGCAGCTTTTTTAATTGAAATAAAATTTGTCTTTTCCAAAAGCAACCTCGATTCTAAAGAAAGACTTTAGCGGTCTTGTCACGAGCATGAGACAAAGAAAAAAATAGGTTCCCGTGTTCTACAAAGAACTCTAATACAGTCAAACCTGTATCAAATGGTCACCCGCCCGAAAATGGCTGGGTGACCGCTAAATACAGGTTCCATAGAACAGGGATGTTCTTGAAAACAATTTAAACAAATGCAATTTTAACCATAATTGATTACTCAATGTACAAAAACTCGCACAAAAATACTTTTAACATTGATTTCGGGAGATAAACATGAATTTAATTTTAATTGATAGACCATTCTTAGTTTAAGTTTTTGATCTCACTTGAGGTGAAGTAAAGGAGGAAGACAATACAAACGGGCCGTTGGGACTCAGTGAAAGGTTGGTGTCAATTTTTAGTACCAGATCCCTTGCAATCCTCTCGAAGACTCGGTTTGCTCAAAACTTTAATTAAACTTATCCTGGGCGAAGAAACACTCGTGCTGATTAGCTAATAATGAGGACCTTCTCATAGTCAGCTACCTCCTCAGCCAAACCCGTACAAACCTGCCATAAATGGCAAATTTTAGATGTTTGCTCTTCGAATGCCGCCGATTTCTTGATTCTTGAGGACGCCAAAAGAAAGACTTAGACTTCCTTTCCCGTCTTAAAACAAATCATCCAGAAAAGCAGTCCAAATAGTTTTGACTGTACCCTTCTTAGTGAAATTGTTCCAACTGAAAAACTTGTTTAACTTCCACTGAATTCCTTTCATCTTGGTTATGGAAAAAATTCAAAGGCAGGATGTATTTATGAGTTCGATTTAATATCAACAATTAAGTTCTTCCAGAGAGGGTTGTTACCTTTAGTCGAGGGGAAAATTCTGATTGACGATACATTTTATTACGTGATTTTTGAATAAACTCTTCGGTCGATATGCTACTTCACCTTTAAATTTAATCTTTCATAAAATGAATTCTTTTTTCCTTCAAGGTACAATCTAGGGTGCTTTAACATCGTTTGTAAACTTCACCTTAAAAAGTTAGGATGTTACTCGCGATCTCATCAATTTCCAATTGATGTTAAATATTTTGTCTGTATTTTTCAAGAACCAATGATATAAGGCATTCTGAAACTTTTGCTTCTTTTAAATGACGTCTTCGAAGATTTTTACTCAATTGATAGATGTAATGATTATTAAGATTGGTGGTTTGGCGAAAGAAATGTTCCCAACGAACGCGTATCGCTTACATAGACATGTTTTTTTCTTCTTTTTTCTAAGGAGGCCTCCCTCGTGTAACCCCATGATATCTGGAGGCTCCCCCAGCCATCTATTGAAATATTGTTTTTAACATGTATTGTAAACTTAAACTTACTCATTTAATGATTTAAACCACCTTTCTCTTTAAGAATAGCTCATAAAATTTCTGTTATATAGTAATTGCTCTTGCAAAAATTGTCAACTATATCTCGTATTGCCCTTCTGCCACTAGTTGCCTCTACCAATGTTTCTATGTAGGAAGTGACGGATACTCCACCCTCGATTTAAAAAAAAAAAAACAAGCCGTCTTCCCAGATGATGACACAGGGTGGCAATAGAACTCTAAACAGAGCTTTTGTAACCCACCAAGCAATTAGAAAACGTGGGTTTCTGATTGTTTCAAATAATCATTTAGCTTGATTCCTATTTGCCCTAATGTTTTGTATAAATCCTACATTTCTTGAACGTATCTCCGATAATACGCCTGGGCCTGGTTGACTTGCCACTTAAATGGACTTCTATTTATGGGTTTACCCTCAACCTTCACTGACAAACTACAAAATCCGGGTTGCATTAGGCAATAGGAGAAAGTATATGACCCATCACCATTATCTTGCACTGCAAGTGCTACCCAAGTGTTTGCCAACCGATTGCCAAGTTGCCGATTGCCGATTGCTCTTTTTCCCCAATTGCGTTCGTCTAGGTGGACTCGTCGTAAATTGTTCCTTAATTGAACCTCAATGCTCACTTTGTGCCCACCTTCTGTAACTCTACAACCGCTTTCATCCTTGATGATAACTGTGAAATACACGTTTTCATTCATTGTGGTCGGATATATCACTCCTTCTTGTCTCCCTCCCATGCTAATGGTGCAGCTCTGGGGGTCACACTGTTTGTAAATCATTTGTGCTAATTCACCCTCATCCCTAATCGATCTTTTCACTTGAAGCTTCATATAATCATTCTGACAGGGTTTCAACTGGTCTTGTGACGAAATAAGCCGAGAAAGTCGCTGGACAAGTTGTGTCTTCAGGGATAAGAGCTTTACGTCATCTCCATCCACTATTGCCTGACCGGTGAAATCAATGCCACTTCTCAACTGGGCCAAAAGGGAGGAAAGATCGTCTGCCTGACTGTCGAGCTGCTTTACTTTAACTTGGCCTTGTGTTAAAGCTTCATGCTTCAGGTGTGCACGTTGTTCTTCCAATACCCTCACTTGCTCATCAATAAAATAGTCCACCTGTTTGTTTACCTCTGAGACTTTAGTTAAGACACAGCTTTTCATGTTCTGTACCGCTTTCAGACCCTCAGCAACCGCCCTTTCTTTAGTTGTACATTTCTCAAGAATAGCGCGCACAGAACGTCTTTCCTTTTCAGCAATATCAGCCACAAAGTCGTACTTATGTTCTCGGTGATCAACAATAGTGCAGTCTCGGCAGATTGTTTCTTGGCACGTTTGACAAAAGAGCTTGACTAACTCCCCACCATGCTTTTCACAGAATGCTGGCTTGACAAGGGCCTTTGAGCCAACTCTTTTGACTTCCTCCAGGGATAAGATCTTGTGACCCTTGAATGCATTGATCCTTTTATGAGCAGTGACACAAAACTCGCACATGAAAACACAGCAGTTAGTACAGCGGGACACAGCTGGGTCCTCAGTGTCGCAATGCTCACACGCCTGCGGCTTTTTGGACGAAGACATGTTGCTGTCCTGCATGCTTAGCAAGGTCATGAAATTGTTCATCCAAAAATTTGGCTGCAGCTTGCCAACATCTCCGTCAGTAATCTATTTGAGAATATAAGAAGCTTTTCAATAAGAATGATGATAATAATTATATCAGTAATTATTATTTTCATTATTGTCATGAAGGGCTTTGCCAAGATGAGCTAACAATCTGACAACAAATTCCAGTTAACCGTGGGGTACAAAAACGTGCCCTCGCCAACCCTTGACTTTAGACACAGCTGTTTGCTACCCACCCTCGAATGGGCCAGTGCCAGGTGGGCTGCGTAATAGTGCTAGCTGACGTTAAGCTTCCTGCGTTTAAAGCGCCCGAAAACCTAGGGAGATAATGCTTGCAATGTCAAATAGAGCCCCTTCCCAAACCTGACACTTTGACACTAAACCACCCTCCTACTGTTCTGTGGTGTAACAGGGCATAAACTTGCCTAACAGTCAGGCAAAACGCAATGGCACCATTTGGGGCTAAGAAAACCCCCTAGACAATATCAATAGTTATAAGCTGACCAGCCCGAAACATACCCTCCCCGCACCTGAGCTTTGGACACACAGCTGTTAGCGTTCCACCCTCTGATTGGCCGATCCCTGAGTTGTGTCACCGAAAATGGTTTATCCTGACAAGATCGATTTGATTTTCAAATTCCCAGATCTAAAATCAATAGAAACGTATAGCAAATAGTGTGAAGAATCGATATCCATAAAGATTAAAAGCGTTTTGTTGTAATAATAAAATCCTTAACTCACTATTACATCGTGGCGGCACTCTGGGCAGGTTATGATATGATCAGGCCCCTTCCTCTTCACTAGTTTCACAAGGCACTCTTTACAGTAAGTGTGCAGGCATGGTAACACTTTTGGTTCTTTAAATTGTTCTAAACAGATAGCGCAACTCAGCTCAAACATAACTGCTTTAGGCTGCGCACAGGCCATTTCCTGTCTGGAAAAAGGTAGTTTGAGACTGCATGTGGCTACTGATATAACACATGTTTATAGCATGAAACGGAAATAGAGGCTAGAAAAGTACAGTAGGCAAAACATTCTCTCTTGCTTCTCCGCTAATATGACAAACTTCGATGATATTAATTTGCAATAAATTAAGTTTATTGCAAATTGTAGAGAAAACGGAATTTTCCTCTAGGGTTCATTATTCGAGATAAGCATTTTTGAGTCCTGCTTGAAAGCTGTTGTTTATTTATATGAAAACAAAAGGTGGAAATGCAGGTGGTACATAGTCTGTGTGGTAATTCAAAGGCACCCTTATGTTAATTTCAAGCTGAAACTTTTAGAGATTTCATTCAAAATTTGAATCAGATGAAACAGCTTTAAATAGGGGAAATGAACCATAAAGATCCCTCGCAATGTCATTTCAGACAAATCACATGCACATATCACGTAAAAACTTTGCAAAACTGCGCTGCTTAGTCAGCTGTCTCTTTTAGGGGATGCAACAATATGAACTGCAAATTAATAGATAATAACTGGGAAAGTAAGAACCTGTTTTAAACCCTTTATAACCTGATTTCCTAAAAAGAATCGGTTATACAAGAACTCCTCTGGGCTTATTTAAAAAAAAGCAGATTCTTATCAGCGGGTTTGTGCATTATTTCAATGTAATCTATATTATGTACCCGTTCGGCCTCATTGTCTAGCCAAATTAGATTAACCGGAAAGTTACCAAATGAAAGCCTAGTCTAAGATTTACATAACTCTACTCCGTTTAGGGAGTAGAGTTATGAGGAAGCTGTCGGGAAAGAATCATATATGTAACTTTGAGCTTACGCAAACACACACGAAGTAGAGAGTGTCCTTCGAGATCGTCTGGAGAGAACCTTAATTATTTTTTTTGTGCTGAAGTATCACCGCACCTTCTACAAATTAAAACAGAGTTAACAAAAATTAATGAATTATTTCGTGACAAGAGTATAAGGAGCTTACCGATGAGAACAGAAAGCTTAAACGTCCGGCTTCAACACTTCGGTTTTCAGAAAGGCTTTTACTGATTCATTACATTCTGATTATGGCGTGATATGACTCTCGCTACGAATTATGGGCCTTTTTAGAGAATCATTGCAGGGGGAGGGGTAGTCTTGAACCCCGACCCCTTTCACAATTCAATTACGGTAGGATCTGAGTACGAGATTAGGGCAGGGGGTTCGACGGCAGAAACGTATATAGGCATATGAGAGAGCACGTTCTACTGGAATATTTTGGTTTTAATCTTTCTTGCATAACAGGACGTGTATTTGGAAATAACAAACGAAATAATTCGGTTGACTTCATACATCGTGTGTTGATAAGCTGATAGATAGTTGAAGGAGAACTTGTGCCGTTGACAAGTGTTGTCAGGTCCTAAAAATAACTATTTCTACAATGAAATATACTAGGAAAATGACTAGTTTTCTTCGCTGCTTAACCATGTTACCGTGTGTCTGTTCAGTAATCAATGACAGATGACGTCGAAATGTGGTTCTTACTGTAGAAAATCTCTTTCGCTTTAAAATTTCAAATTACAATTTTTTTCTTCCTCCACGCTTTGCATTCTTTATGTGTTCATGCATGGTGAGCCCGTTTTCACAAACTGGCCAATCACGTTAAAGTTCTCTAACCTTGATATTGGAAAACTGACGTGGGCATTTTTCGCGTACTTTTGTTTGTCGTTTTTCACAGAGTTTAGTTAGTTGTTTTCTATCTTTCGTTCGCACGGATTTGTCAACCATTTGTTTACAATTTTAAGAGATTTCCGAGTTTCTATTTTTGCTAAATGTTGTGGTTTATTCAACAAATTTAATAAATAATTTCTTCGGAGTTTGGACCCTAGTCTCTTATTTCGAAAATGGATTTTTTCCACTTACCACATTTTGACGTCATCTGTGTCTATTACTCATCAGACGCATGGCAACATGGAATCTATTTGTTTTATATGATAAAAATGCAAAATGTTATAAATGATGACGTCAACTATGCGTCTGTCCTTCAATAGTTCATTCGTATGAACCAATTAAAATGCGGGTATAATTCAGCTCATTATATAATTTCGAAACAACAACGTGCAAGCAGAACGCAAAGCTCAATGGAAAGTAAGAAAACGATACATAGTCAACGGTCCAGAAGATGGAAACCGTTGGTACCGAACCGAACCGAACTGTCTGTCTTGGAGGATCATCCCGTGATGATCATCCCGCTGCCTCAATCTCCAAATCAAACATGGTGGGCTGAATAAATTATCGCGAACTTCTTAACGTTAACTCGCCCTAATAAGAAGCCTGCACTGCAAGCTAGCTTGTAGAAAGTAACTAAGTTGAGATAACTTGGCGACTGTGGTTCTGAGACAAAGAAAAAAAAAACGAACAAAAAACCTAAACCTTTGAACAATACAGACAGGTGTTAAAGTATGGTGATCATCTCGTTTGTCTTTGAGGTACATGTATATAAGGCTAAATTCAAGGGTCTTTGTTGTTGCTATTATAACCGAATTCGTCAAGAAAATGATCACAACTTGTAGAGAGATAAACCGATTTACTGAGAAAAAATATAGTAAGGTTTCTCAACATAATCAACCAAAACCTACTTTGTTGATGTTACATTAACCCTTTGATCACTAACATCAGTAGGCATATTCTCCCTACTGTTTCTAGACGTTTCCTTTGGTACTGACAAGGAGAATTTGTTTAACAAACGAGAGCTTCTTTACTTGGTGATCATTTCCTTTATTCTCGTGCCCTCAATTAGTGATTCAGAGGTGATATTGTAAGGAGAAATTAGATGCTAATCATTTCTAGAGGTTTAAGGGTTAGTGGTCTTGCCTCGTTCACTCTTTCTATAGATAGCTTTGGATATTTATGCTATTTTTCATCAAGATTATTATCTATTTACCATTATATAATAAGCTCAGTTATGCTCGCATTCTGATTGGTTCTCACTTATGATCTATTGGAGGACAGACGAGAGATGTCTGTTATATAAAAAAAATAGACTCCAGTTTGCCGTGCGTCTGTTCAGTAATAGATCAAAGAGGACGTTAAAATGTGGTAAGAACAAAAAAGTGGCACACGAGGCGCAGCCGAGTGTGTCACTGATGTCACGTCATCATTAAAACTTTTTTTAATTCTTTATTATATAAAACAAATAGATTCCAAGTTGCTGTGCGTCTGTTCAGTAATAGATCACAGAGGACGTCAAAATGTGGTAAGAACATCAGTGACACACTCGGCTGCACCGTGTGTGCCACTTTTTTGTTCTTACCACATTTTGACGTCATCTGTGATCTATTACTGAACAGACGTACGGCAACTTGGAATCTATTTGTTAAATCGAGACTTATGGGAACCTCCAACTTAACGCGTGACAACTGTCAGTCACGTCACGCTTGTCATGGACTGATCTTGAAAAAATATGCTGGTGATAAATCTATTTCATCTGAAAATGACTGCACTGTGAGTAGGTTCCCTTTTTGTTACAGCGCTTTGTGAATTTAAAGTACCGTATTTACCCGTGTATAATGCGCGCCCGTGTATAATACGCACCCTAATTTTTGAGCTCTTTTTTCCGAAAAAAAAGATTTCATGACAAATACCAAGAATTAAAACTTCCATTTTTTCACTTAATTAACAAGAGCTGGGAATTCATCAATAATATGTTTACAACAATTTCTAACTAGTTGCTACTACAAATATCGCACGCACCGAGCACCTATTTACAAGCTTTTTTATTCAGTAACAGTCAAACGTTTTATAAATGTTGTAACTTGAAGTCCTTATTAATATACCTAAATTCACAACTTGAATTATTATCATAACAGCCGTTCATAAACATTATTTCTACTCACAGTACTGCTGATAGCTTGAATATAATTACGGCATTGCAATTGCGTGATTTAAGTAAAATGTTCAGTGTCTTTAAACAACGAAACCTTCAAATTCCGACTCACAGTCCGATTCGAATAGGTTTCTATGACTGAATCCTCAAGTTCATCAGTGATCTCAGTTGAATTGTAAACCAATTCATCTTATGATCCATTCGAATTGTTTGTGCACCCACACTTCAGAGAGAAGCAGCGATCATTTCTGATGGAATGCCTTCCTACGCTTGTGAAATATACGAACAGATCAGTTCCTCCGAAGCCTTTTTTTGTCGTCCAGTAAGTTCGTGAATTCCATCAGCCATCCACTCCTTTCGGACTCCATCTCTAAATGGTTTGTTCAAAGATACATCGAGCGGCTGGAGAAGGGAAGTTCGCGTTTGAAGGAAGTGTTCACAGTATCTGTCACGTGAGCTTCAAATGAGTCGTAAATAAGCAAGCTCTTTCTCCTCCCCAGGCCACCGATCCGTGCACTTTTACTTTCTTTGTTGCGTTTTTAACGTATGCAAATTAGGACGTGCTTGACAAACAATAGAATCCGTGTATAATACGCACCGCGATTTTGATGCTTGTTTTTATGGAAAAAAAGTGCGCATTATACACGGGTAAATACGGTATCTAGTCCAGCTGATGTCTCTTTTGTTCTTTTTGTTGTTAACGGTCTGTTTATTTTCAGTCGTTATCCTTTTATTCTTAAAATAGGTCTTACTCTAATACTATATTAATATTTGCTATTCACTCAGGTATTGACAGGTCAAGACAAGATAACTGTACTATCTTGTTGCATCAGGTTGTGCCAGGTCCTCGCTCAAGTCGAGAGTGTTTCGAGAATCAACCATAAGAAGTTTTTCTTTTTTCTACAAGTTATCCTGACTCTAATCTGCAAAGGAAACATTTCGCTGCAAGTAATCAAACAAAATAAATCCTGGAATGTTACACCTGATTTGACTGCGTTGTAGATATTAAACAACGCTGAGATGGCCGCCCCAGAGCAAGATGAGATTAACGAACCAGCTTCAAATATGGAACTTAAAACATTTCAGGCAAATTTTCGCACGCTGTCTCAAGAAGAAGGCATAAAGGAAGACACTCAGCAGAATCCCTTGAAGATAATTTGCGTAGGTGATTACACAGGTGGTGTGAGAACCAGGGGAATCTTTATTAAGGATTACTTGGGAATTAAACCCACCGTAAGATGTCATCCTTTCACTTGCATTGATTTTTATCTGAAGAAAGTTGAGTGGCAAAAGCTTGGACATTCAAGTCGCAATTCGATTGTCGTACAACTATGTGACATCGCTGAAATGGAACGCTTCTCCGCCATGACCAAGGTCTTCTTTAAGCACAGTCAAGGAGCCATGGTGTTTTGGGGACCTCACAACCCATCGTCACTTGCTGGAGCATTGCAATGGCGGAGGAAGATCAGGGAGGATATATCGCTTCCGATTCCTTGCGTTCTTGTCGCAGACAATGTGACAGACTCTTGCTCGAGTTCAATAAACTGGATTGGGCCGGGAAAGATATTTGAGAGCGAGCTAGCGCTGGATCAGTTCTGTAAAGATCACAACTTTGAAAATCATTTTGAGATCACGGCACGCGATTGGGTGTCCGGTGAAAAGAGTGTTTTTGGACAGGCTGTGAACTGTCTTCTTGACGGGATTTTGCAGAGCGAAAAGAAAGAAGAACAGTCTTGCGTGTAACGCAATTATTCAGCGACTGATGTCCTTCGCAGCCGATGTTAGGTTTTATCTCACAACGAACTCCGCGTTTCGTGTCGAGACTAAGTAACGGCTACGAAAGAGACTGTTAATTAAACGTGTACCAGACTCAACTGCAAAGTTACGTGTTAAATGACTATGCATCAAGAATTTAGCATAAGAAGTTTGTTTGTAGATATCGTTATAATTTACTAATTGGTGATTTTACGCTATTTTGTCACGTAACTCGCAAATACCGGTTTCCTCGGAATGTCACGCAACGTTTCTTCCAAAGAACGGTTTCCAGTAGGAGATCAAGCTTGAACGTGTTCCAGGTGTTGTCACGCAACTTAGCAAAATAATTATAATTATGTTAAGCAATCAAACAAGTCAAATAATCAAGACCATTTGAAGTTAGAATACATTGGAAAGGGGTGCTCAAAATGAGCAACGGGAGAATTTAATAACCGCGAGCGTTGATTTCACAATTTCGTCGAGTTTGCAATATAATTTGCTCTATGGGGATTTACCGCTGCTTGATTAGCAAGCCACTAGATAGAGGAGCTGAGAAAATAAAGAATGGAAACAAAAACAGTCATACTAGAGGAATTTTTGTAACCGTGCCGTAACAGGCGATGTATTCTGTAAATCAACCCCTATTCACTTCTCGATCACTTTTACTCCCAGTTGGTAATAACCCCTACCCCCCTCTCCCACCCTTCCGACAAAACTGCAACTTTCTTTCTAACTGCAACTTTCATTGGAATATTTAGACTATCCTCGCTCATTCATCCAAAAAACAATGTTCTATACCATCAGCGATCAATCTTCAGCTGGTGTTCAAGGGGAAACCGCTCTAAGCTGAGTTACTTCTGTGAAGCCCTGAGAAAACACGGCGGTCTCAGAATCGAAGAAACCGGAAGTGTCGTTTCTGAACTGTGAATATGCTGCAGTCAAACTCTCTGTCCAGTGTAGCTTCGAACTATGAATTGCCAGAGGAGGGCAACGAAAACTGTTTAAAGAGGCTGGGAAAAGACGTCGAGATGAAAACATTTACAACGAACGAAGAATTTTTAGAACGCGAAATCGATAGCGATCGACTAGGAAACAAAATCGTGAAAATCCTATGTATCGGCGGAGTGGGAAATATGGGTGTTCTTATCAATGATTACCTCCAAGTAACGCCTCCAGTTCGAGGACTTCGCCCTTCTGCTCTCTTCGTGGATCAGTATTTGAAGAGAATGAAATGGCTCAGAAATGAAGTAGAGAAACCGATCTTTATCAACCTGCGAATCTTGGAGATAGGTGAACTAGGACGTGTATCAAGCCTACGGAGGATTCTCTTTAAGGACTGCCATGGAGCGCTGGTTTTCTGGGAAACACTAAGGCCTTCTTCGCTAAATGAAGCTGTAAAATTGAGGAAGATGGTAATGGAGGTTTGTCCGTCTGTTCCATGTGTATTTGTTACTGATAACTTAGGAAAAGAGCTATCACAATGGATTGGGGCTGGCAAGACATTTGAAAGTGAACTGGCATTGAATCAGTTTTGCCACAATCACGGCCTTGTGAGTCATTTCGAGATCGTTTCACGCGATTGGGTGTCCGGTGAAAAGAGCGTTTTTGGACAAGCTGTGAACTGCCTTATGAAGGAAATCTTTCAGAGCGAGCAAACAGAGGAAGAGACCTCGATGTAATGCAACTGACCGTTTTAGTGTGAAATGCGTACACCATGAACTATGAACCATTAATCATCGTAATGAGATCACGCGAATCAGAATACAATTCAATTTTTTTTGCAAATAATATTTATTGCCATGTCTGCCTTTTCATCAGCTCGGTATAGACTGAGGATGTTCCCTGTCTTCTACTTTTTTGTCATGCAGTACAAAAGCGGCCGTGGAAGGTCTAGCGAAAAAAACAAAAGGACTGTTAACAGCATGTAGACAAATGCGTCCGGCCGCTTTACCTGGCTTTTTGGAGAACCAGTTGTGAATAAATTCGCGTCATTTGAAAATCATAACAAATAATAATAGGAAGCAAGTGACGAAATTTTGAACCGTGGGGAAAAGTTTAAATCTTTAAAACTAATAGGTGGGGTAATGGGGATGCTATGGGACGGGAGAGAGCCGGACAGGGTTGACGTCTTTGTAATGGTGACTTTCTGGGAGTGAAAATTGTGTAGTGAATATTTAGGAGATGGCCTGAGTAAGAAGCTTAGGGACAATCAAAACATTGGCAAAAATAATCCGGGAATAATTTAGTTATTAATTGAATTGATCGACCACTTAGATTAAAAATCTAGTGTTCGCTTCTCTGTTAAATGATCACCTTTCGTGGTACGGTACAGAGACAGGAGGCTGTACATTAAACAAGAGGAAAAGATTTGAAATAACATCAACCCGGATACAGATTGCATGCCAAACAGTGAGAGCTTAGAAATTTGATGGGTCTGACATTCAACGAGCGAATGCGCATTAGGCTATCAGCAAAAATGGAAACTACAACGCAGCGGGAGGGACAAAGTTCTTAAAACAGTTTTACGACTAACTTTGATTTTTACTTTTATTCTCCGCCTATAAATGTTAAATTTCTTCCAAGTCTTCCAATACCCCCCTCTTCCCCCCCCCCTCCCCCCTCTCCATCTTGAAACCACGGAACCATCCCCACCATCCCCATCTATTACTAATGCGAGCTAACGTTATAAGCTCGCGATCGTTTATCCGACCGGCCATGTTTAATTTGGAGTTAGAGTGGACAATGGGGGTAAGAAGCGGGGGAGGGGCTCCCCTTCCCAGCTTATTTCTGACCGACGACCGCCCCCTTGGTACAAATTTCTTTCTCTCCTCAGCCTTCGGCTGCCATTAAAATTAAAGATATAGCGGCCATAATTTTCGATAAGAAAATACTGAACACTCGCGCGGGATCAGCGATACCTTAAAAGGGATCAGCGATACCGTCTAACCGCTTGTGAGTTCTGCGATTATTTTCCTCTACTGGGTGCCAATCCTTTCATTCGTATGCGATAAGAATCGATAATGACCTTCCAAAAGAGATTATAGACTGAATCTCTTCCCATCCAAGTGACCTTTCATAGTATCCCTTCTGTAACTCGGGTAAAGAATGGGACGCCGTAGAGACACCACGAACAACAACATACAGTAGAACTGGGTTGAATGCGTGACAAGACATTGAGAGTTAAATTTAAAAATCGAGTTTGTTTGGTCATAAATTGAAAGAGCGAGCCTGGATAAGATTATAAGTTAAGGGAGAAAAAATTAATCCTAAGAGAAATAACATTCAGTTCCATAATTTCCCCATCTCCACCCCTCTTCTGCGATTAGCCATCCAGAAATTATCCCCACCTCTCCGCGGATATGGCTGCGAGGGGAATGAATCTCGCCCCAGGTCTAATCGCGTCACCTTACCAAACATGACTATGGCGTTACACAACTATTTCCTTATGAGTGGGATGCTACTGCCTACTGAAAGCCAAGACAGACAATCATTCCGTTGTTAGGCGTTTAAAATCCTAGTGGCGTCGTCAGAGATCAAAGAGAACGAGCATAGCAACCGAAAAGAGACCCTCAGAAAGCCATAAAGATATCCAAGTACAGCTGTACGAAACCGGAAGTTTTCTTCCTCACTCTTTCGGTGTTGACATTGAACTAAGATTTTTCTATACAATGGCATCCAACTATGAATTGCCCGACGAGGTCAATGACACCCGATTGGAGAATCTAGGAAAGGAAGTAGAAATGGAAACGTTTAACTCGAACGTCGAACTAGAAAAACTTACGATCGAAAGCGATCGCCAGGGAGAAGAACTACTCGTAAAAATCGTATGTGTCGGTGGCTTCACTGGTGGAGTGGGTACCAAAGGCGTCTTCATAGATGATTACCTCGAAGTGTGGCCTCCTGTGCAAACGTATCGTTCTCCACTAATCGGAGTAAAATTTTATTTGAAAACAATCAGATGGCAACGAGGCGACACAGAGAAACCGATTTCTATCAAACTACAACTCTGGGAAATTGCCGAACAGGAACGCTTTTCGAACATGTTAAAAATTTACTTCAGGGACTGTCTCGGAGCACTAGTTTTCTGGGGAACACAAAGGCCGTCGACGCTGAATGAAGCTGTATTGTGGAGAGAAAAGGTCAAAGAATTTTGCCCATGTGCGCCATGTGTCCTTGTCACTGACAACGTAGGAAAGGAGCCACTGAAATGGATTGGGGGTGGGGAAACATTTAAGAGCGAAATTGCGTTCGATCGGTTCTGTGAGGAGCACGGATTTGTGGATCATTTCGAGATCAAGGCACGTGATTGGGAATCAGGGGAGAAGAGCATTTTTGGACGAGCTGTGACGCGTCTTCTCGATGAAATTTTTAAAAATCAGTGAAGCGAATGATGGTAGGAATTGTGAATGATCAATGTCTTTCGAGGAACTAGGTATTACGTCAGTAGAGTTAACCATCGACCAACAGAAGCTATTTCCTTTCCTTTGTGAAATTCCGACTAAATGTCGTTCATTTTGAATATAATCGTGTTGAATGACATGTGGTTATGGGCGTCTGTGTATTTACAAAGGTTACGCTTCGATGGAGACCTTTTAGCGCAGAAATGAATAACTGTAATTTATGCAACTGTAACAAGAAGGCATGCAATACGTGCATATTATTACACACCCTTACCTGCGGTACTTTGCATTTTTACGTCGCATGTTCTGTTCCTTGGCAACATTTTGTCCAATTTGTGCATTCATATTTTTTTCCGTTATAAATCAAGAGCTTTTAAACACAGGTAATAAGAGTTGAAAAGTTCAAAAGTCAATTATCTTCGTTATCCTGTTTCCGACACTTACTTCCTAGACATCGTTACTTCACTCTTACCGTAAGGATGACCATATGGCGGGCTACTTCTAACAATTAGTTAATATAGAAATCATTCCCTAGTTGATGGAGTGTATATAATCAAACCAGCCAATCACGATTATGGAATATATCACAAGGAATATATCGGAACTCATAACTCAGGAGTCCATTAACTTGCTCAAAGTAAAAAGAGACAACCTCCCTGAAGAGCGGGAAAACGCAAGTGATCGCCATGTCGTGATAGGTTTAAGGCAAAGCAGTGATGCAAAGAAGCCAATTCAACATAGACAAGGTCCACTTTATTTCATATTTACAAGTATTACATGTTGGTATTCCTGTTAACCGACTGAAAATGGACAAAATTCATCAAAACTTTACGCTTCCCACAAGGAAGTAACGATTGATAAAAATTTACGTTGAGAAAGACGCTTTAAACAAGGCTGTAATTTCTTCTGGCACATTAACGACATTGGGGTGGGAGCTTCTGTACATAATAACATTCCATTTGTAATTTGGTGCTCAATTGAAATCGAACGATATATGGACGAGGACTGTTCACCTTGCTCTGCCTTTCAAAAAAGGAAGAACGAAACAACTTCGAAAAAACAAAACAAAACAAAGATTTCTACTTGATGGCATTTAAGTGTACTAACACCACTTACAAAACACAGTTTAAGATAGGGACCTCTTTGGTTTCTTAAATATTTCCCTCGAGAAAAACTGTTCCCTGAAGCAGACCATAAAATCTTATAATGCTACCTGTAGTGTCGGAACAAATTTACCTTAAATTTTCTACTTTAAGCTTCAACGCAATGAGTTTGTGTGTAAATTAAAGATTTACGAGAAAGTTTACGGAACCTGAAAAAAGTCTTCGCTCACATGCAGCTGATATTTTTTACGATTCATTTAGCCATGAGATGCTGATAGCTATTTTGGGGTCTCTACCCTCCCCTTCCATGAAAGAAGAGGATTCTTTCACTCTCTCTAGCAGATGGTTTTGTGAAATACCAGCAGCACCTCATTTTGATTTGTGTTAAAGGCAGTCTCCTTATTCTTGGAATCTCCTGGCTCCACATACCCGTAATACTAAGCGATAAAATTGCCTAAATTCTTGGCCTTATTCTACCTGCTTCATACGAAACCTTTTAATCGCAAAGCAACACAGTCACGAGGGAATCAACAAAGATTATGTGCAAATCAAAATCACAATTTCTCAACCATTGGAGGTTCCCTAGACTGACGAGGAAGGCTTCCCTCGAGAAAATTTCAGTCTTCTATTCTGGCGACTCAATACACGAAGCCACTATTACTTTAACGCGTACTAGTTAATCCTACGTAGAGGGGGTTTTCATAACATAATCACTGAGGGATGAAATGGGGTCGGATGACGAAGTGGGCGTGGTCATTCTGGTGACAGCGGGACTAGTGGTGTTGGTATCCTTAGGAGAGCCCGCGGACTGAGGACCTCCTCCTTGGGGATTGTCTTCGCCGGCGGCCTGAGCTTGCTGTCCACAGACGTGATGATGGTTCTCCCAATCTTTGTGCTGACAGAACGGGCCGCAGTACCTCGCCACATTGCATCCACTACATGTCTCCGTGGCCTTTCGCCCGCAATTCCAACAACTCTACGGGAAGAACAACCAATATCCCCATAAGAATGTGGACATCTTAACAAGAGGGCACGCAGATTGACACAAACACAACAAAACTTTGTTAAAGAAAACAAGAATGCATAGCATTATATCCCTACCTCACTTGAATCACTCTGATGATTTGACATGGCTAAGGTGTCTTCAGTGGCCTGTCGGCGCGCCTCTAGCACGGCTTTCTCCATTTTGCCATGCGCACTAGCCACAGCCTCGTTAGCTTTCTCTTCCGCAGCACGGACAGCTTTCTGTAGTTCCACCACAGCTTGTCTCTTCACGTCACTTACGGCCTCTTCCGCCCGACGTTTGACCTCTGCTACGCGCTCCTCCGTTTGTTTTAGCGTTTTAGCCATTAGTTCCCCTAAACGAGTTAAAGATAAAGGTTTAACGAGAGATGAAATTTTCAGCCTATTGACGAGTAGGCGTTTTCTTAACACCATACTGGACTTAGCTTGTCCACACGAAATGATAAAAAAAGAATTAAGCTCTACACCCACCTGCTCTCCTCTTAACTTCCGCTTCTGTTTCTTCGGCCGTTTTTCGTGCCCAGGCCAATAATTCTTCTCGGTCCTGAGTGCATCGTTGTTGAAGCACTGCTACAGCTCGTTTTGTCTTGTCAACCATTCCTATTATGCACTGAAGCATCTAAGTACCACAAATATTTAATTGTTAAAAAAAATAAACAAATAATACACTGTAATAATAAAAAATGTCCTTCACTCATCAAATCCCGGAGGTGATTATCATGTAACTTCTCCCTATAATATCTATATATCATCCAGCAAACAGGTCATAAGAATACTCATACTTATCAGGTCAAAGGCGTTTTCTTTATCTAACAAAAAATTATCCTGACTAATTTACTAGGAAATGTTTACCAGCCAGAGGAGAGAATTAACAATCAGATCTTGGGAGTTAAGGGTTAAAATGTGACTGCCCTTTGCATAGAGAGCATTAATTAGTCCTAATCCACTTGGTTACCATGCCTGCTACAACCAGGGATTAACTTGAAAAATTTAGTTGCAGAAGAATACATTTAAGTAACAGGAGCATGTTCTATGGTCTCGAACAAAAAACAATTCAGTGCATGGATGACAAAGTCAATCTCCAATGCCCAATAAACACCTTCTAGCAACCTTGGAAACTCAACCTACCGTGTCCACATGTTTCCAGTCATCCACTACTTCATGTTTGCTATCCAACAGAGCATCTGGCAAAGTGGGATCACCATCACGTGAACTGCCTGCTGTGAAATAACTAATGATTAATCATACCATCACACATAACTGAAACATCAAAGCAAACAGTAAGAACACTGAAGACTCTGAGATAATCACATGGTCTGTTTGCTTAAATGATTGGTAACATCACTCAAAAGATAAGAGGGAGTCAACCCTTTGCTACCAAGATCTCCCTGTTCCCTCTCCATACTGTCTGGCATTCATATTCCATAATTTTAGATCCACAAATTTTGTGTTCAGTGTAAGCAATTTTCTTCAGCTGATACTTTCCTTTCTTCTCATCACTTGATGGTTTGAAAAAGTTATGATATCATAACAAGACATTTCTTTTGGTAAATCATAGGGGTGAAAGGGTTTAAGTTGTCAACTGTCTTTGCATGTACTTCTGGATGTTTGCTGTTCACAATATTGATTTAACAGAAACAAGAATACAACAAATACACAAGGCAAAATACTGTCTCCAAAATATTGTAATTCAACTTTATTTGATTGATTTAATATCAATCATGAACTTCATTAACCCTTTAACTCCCATGTGTGACCATGACAGAATTTCCCTTAACAATATCAATGACAGAATTTCCCCTGACAATATCACTAGAGTATACATGTAAAACAGGCAAGTGATGAGAATTAAAAAAATGTCAATTAGGGAATTATTAGTTGATCCAATTTCAAATTCACCAAACTAACTTCAGAGGAGGTGTAGGCAGACAGTAAGAATTGCTAATGAGTTCTTGGGAGTGACAGGGTTATGTGATATCTGCATTTCTCTCTGACTGAGGATAAACAAGGCATATAATAAAGAAATTTTACATATTTTAACCGTTTATCTTAATAAATTCAGAGCATTAATTGTCATTCCATAATGCAAAGATTGATCTGTTTAGAGTAGCTTTTTGAATAGGTGAGAGAAGATTAGTCAAGATCTCTTAAATATTACCTTGTGGTATTGTGATGTCTTCCATTCTTAACTGATTTGGTTTATTAAAACTGCTGCTGTTGCCTACCCAACAAAATACAAAGCTAGCTCAGTATCAATTAACCATGTAAAGTGATTCTTGTTCTATAACTGAGATAAATTCAGTTTACCTGATTTTAAAGCTAAGTCAAAATTCCTCGATTCAAAACAAAGCTGTTTAAAATATATATCTTCAGCAGAGATATCACAACCAAAAAAGCATTTATTTTGAGGTGAAAGTGGAAAAAGTCATCACATACAAGCTACATTCAGTTTTATAAACGTACCCAAAAAGGGCCTCTTTGGGATAGGTTTCCCTAGTTCTGCCATCATTTGCTGAAATAAAAAGACTGAAAATTTCAAAACTGTGATAGCCACAGAATGTAGTCACCAAATAGGAAAGGTGTTAATTTGAAAATTTACACAGCATCTGCAACAGCAACTAAATAACACCACAAACAAGCATAATGTGATGGTCATGAGATGCATAACATAATGTAGGTATTAAATTAATCTCCTACATCACTTGTCTATATTGATCATTAAATAAGCATGTAAATTCCAGGAAAAAAAGGAAGAAACACTCAAACTCACCATAGCCAGATCAGGAGGTGCTCCATTTTCCTTAGGTCTGAAAAGACAGGGATTTATTTAGTACTCTTATTGAGAGTTCTACTTCCATGTACCATTGTACACCCTGACATAATTCAGGGCTCTGCCATGGCAGGGCCAAGTGACCCCTTGGTATGTTACTTTTGCTCTTTGGCAACCAAGGAATCTTACCTGTTCCATAAAACAACTGTACACTCATGTTACATGAAAAATGCACTTGTTTTCAGCCACTCAAACATGCATCATTTTTCATGTTATTAATCAATTAATTTCTACAATGCTGCTGTAGGAGGAAGGACAATCACAGTCCATTTTCACAGCCATACAAGAGCTGCAATAGTAAATCATAATATTCTCAAAGAAAATATTTAACCAGTATAATTATTAGGAGATGAAAACAATTGTTTTTTTGTTATAGCTTTACCTCATACTATCTGAAGGAGCCTTTCGTTTCCCATTTTCATTTATTTCTAATGGATTTAGTTCCTCTGGATCCAGAGGTGTTGTTTCTCTTTCATTTAAAATATCTTCATGTTGTCTGAGATATTGTGGTGGAGTCTGCTTAGCCATCTGAGCACACTGTAACAGTTCTCTTTGTAACAGGGGTAGGTTTGCCTGGAAATACCATAAATATCATACCTTAGAAATAGTTTGATAAGTCAACATATCTGAATGGGGGCAGTTCTATTCTGGGGTACCTTATTTACTTGTGTATAAGTCGAACTTGTGTATAAGTCAACAACACTTTGTCAAGGTCAAAAATTGGATTTTTCATCATTTCTAACCAAAGAAGTTAATCTCTTATTTCTGAGAATGTATTGAAAACACGAGGAATTAAAAAAAATGCAGAGCAAAATGTAACTGTGTGCTGTGAAGTTGATATTATTAGCACTTGTTGATATCACCACAATTTAAGCATATACAAGCACTTACTGGAGAACTATTTAATCATATTTTGTGAATCACATTGAAATTAAATCTTCTTGCATTGAAATAACCTTCATCTTAATGTTGAGTTTGAAAGGAGATTAATTAGACCAAAGGAAAACTTAAAAATTTCAAAGGATCACACGTAACATAAAAACCCATGCGAGCCAGGTCACTAAGCCACGGAAATCATTCAATGAGAACTAAAGTCCAGCACTGTTAACAGCAGCAAAGCTCCAGGCAAAAATGTCTGCCCTACAGTCCAAAGACACAATAGAAGTCAGCTCCAGCAGCTTTTTGTTAAGCCACTTAAAATTTATTACTTCAAACTTTTTTGTTGAGGAAGAATGCACTAAAAAGTGACGAAACTCGCATACAATTAGAACTGGTTTTATAAACTCAGTTTTCCTAACGGACTTCAGGCGATTTTTATGCTAATTTCTTGGATTGCTTGTGTCAGGTCTTTGTGTATGACTTGTGTACAAGTCGAGGGTGATTTTTGGGGCTGATTTTTTGGTCATAAAAGGTTGACTTATGCGTGAGTAAATACGGTAATTTGGTATTATCAACTGATTTGTTGACATAAATTGGCCACTGTAAAAAAGAAAGCTGGCCTTTTGAGTGTTAGTCCTTCCTCATTTGCTCTGACCTAATTAACCTAATGCTGAAACATCAGCTTTGAAACTCTTTACAGTGGCCAATTTACATTATAACCTCAGTTGATAATACCACACTACCTTGTTATACTCTCCCACTGCTACAGCACCACAGTTTCTTTAGAAACTTACCCCCTTCATTCAGTTCTTTCCTAGGCCCTCAGTTTACAAGTATAACTTAGGGTCAACAAAATTATACACACAAAAAATTAAACAGTCATTATCTGGGCCACTCTATCCAAACCTTAGTTTCATACTGAAAAATTCACTTTGCTATTTGTAGTAACAAACACTCCTAAATAAGTTAAGCGTTATACTTACTACTGAGTTTGAAATCTATGTTATAAACCAATTTTACCAGAAACTAAATGTTCTTGATCCCAATGCCAAAAAAGAAATAGGAGTTCCATCAACAAAAATATACTCATTTCAAAAGAAATGTCAAACTTTTAAGTACAGGAAATAATATTAGCCAATTTCCAAGCAAAAGGTAATAAAATACTGCCTTCTTTTCACATGCCACCACTTAAACTGAGTAAAAGTCCTCATGAAAATCAACCATAAATTCTTATCAACCATGTTAATCAAGGACAGACCAAATAGCAAAATTTCAAGCTGAAAGGTGAAGATTAAAATCTCAACAATATTGTTTGATTGACCACCATGTTGTCAAGGCTAAAATCATAACAAATTTAAGGCAGATGATGCACAGAACTGATATTTAGTTCTTGGCAATGAAAAAGTTGTGGTACATGTATGCACCACAAAAATTATTGTGGAAACAAAGTAAAGCTTGGGCAAGAGGGAGCACCATGACTCAGTTCAGCACTAACTGCATGAATGTCTTCCCTAGTATACCAAGCTATACATGCTCTGATTTAATTAATGTAAACAGAGTTCAGCATACCTTTAGAAATGGTATAACAAATGGTCTGAGAGGAAAATTTGTAGCTTCTTGAAGCTGTGCATGAAATTCTTCTATGGATATTGTTGAGTTCTGAAATAAAAATAGCCAAAAGTTAACATCATGTCTCTGAACACAAACACCTATCATCCCAGGAGTACCAAAATGTGTTACAAATTATTTCCTCACCACAAGGTTCATAACAAGTCCTCGCACTCTTTCTCCAATTTCAGGAGAGATATCCGAACCAAACTGTTGCAGAGTTGTCAGGAATCGCTTCAACTTGCTAAGTTGTCGAGCACCACAGGCAGGAGGCAGCTGGGTTACACTGTTTCCTATACTGCTAGGAGACACAGGGCCTGTGGGGCTGGTATGTGCACCATTGACAGCAGGTGAAGTGGAATTATTAAGAGACCTTACATCAGCCACAACTGGAACTGAAGTAGGATTTGCATTTGGTGATGACACTGGAGGTCCCTGAGGAGGATGAGCTGCTGGGTCTGTTGGTGAATCTGGCATGCTTGCCTCTCTTAAATCTACAACATAACAAACATTATTTGATCTGTCTGCTTTTGACCACATATTAGTATAAGGAGAGGCTACATGTACATGTCCACCTTTAAAAAGGGATGCTTACTCTTAGAGGAATTTTTACATGAGTAACCAAAATGATGCGTGATTACATTGGTTCGGATTGACAGTACTATGCTTTGTGATTGCTTGAGAATACTTGAGCCACATTCTTAACCAATTCAGTGCAAAACCAACCATGCCTCCAAAACATACAGTTGCCCTTGGTCAAGGTAACAAAAATGTACTTATTTTGAGTTTTTATTGGCTTGTTGTACAGTTTTCACTCTGTGGTCCAAAAATAAACAGTGTGAACCACAAAACATTCATTCAAAAACTGTATCACTTTTTCCAAATAATAAAGATTGATATTCCAAACATAGCATACTATCATAGTGTACAAACTAACTTTTTCTATAGAGGATACATATTCTAACAACCTACCAATTTTTTTGGAAATTGTTGTCAGGTACCATTTAGATGGCTTAAATGGTCTTATACTCAGACTGCTAAGATAAAATAATATTAGAACTTGGGAATAAAAAATATGTATTAAACTCCTTGAGCCATTTTCACATCAAACAGACTAGGTATTTAATATTTACATCTCTACATTGCTGTAAACTGGTCAGTAATTCTAAATCCTCTGTTGTTCTGTCATGTTTTTTTTTTTAATTTGTTGACCAATTTACGATATCCAATACATTTAAAATGTTCACCTGTATTACAATATAGTCGCGATATGAAACACAATATGAAAACAATAAGTCATAAAACAAAATATGACATAACAGTTTCCCTGCTGAATTGAGTAATAACAAATCATGATAGCTATTAAACATACAATATATAATTCTGACAAAGATCGACATTCCACTCAACCAACAGTCAATGAGTGAAAAAATATGCAACCTCATTAAGTTGACATGCATGTTGTTAGTAATACAGACTACAATTGACCGAGAACAATCAACAGTTGTGCTTGGTTGAACATTTAACTTCAATGGATAAGAGCATATATTGGTATGGTCTTAAGTTTATGCGTATGTTCAAAATGTTTCGGAAACAAAGTAATTTGCATTCAAACGATTGGTAAAGAAGAACTCTTGTCCAAACTTGACAACACAATTCTTAGCATTAAGCCACTCGGATATATAGCTAAAAACAATCATTGGGTAATAGTTTTCTGATTCTTCATCTGTCGCTTTTAATTTCACATTTCAGAGCTATTATGAAAATCCTTAATTATAAACGAGTTCTATAACGCCTTGTTTATCAAGCGAGTTCAATCTTAAATTATCGTTAGCCTCGAACAAAATTTCAGAGACACAAAAGATCGCATCAATGGTAGAGTCACGAAGATGACCGATTTCTTCTTCAAAGGCACAGACAAACGAAGTAAAGTATTATAAAGTCTTCATGAATAACCTTGGAAATACGCATAACTCTCTTGATAGGATTTTAATGACACAACCAGAATTACTAAAGATCTATTAAGAAACATACTGTGATTCACGGAGTTAAACTTCGAGCATGGAACTTGTGGCCATCGAAAGACACAAAATACTGTTACCGTCTCATAACCAGGTAACTGAATTCTCATTACATAGGACGAATATATAAGATGAGTAAATTGTTTTAATTTTCTCCTTAAAATTGAGCGTCACGACCAACAGGGTTTACAACAAAAAAGTTACAGCGGGCGAGCGAAATAGCTTAATATCATATCGCGACAGAGGTAGCGACACAAGGGATTTATAAAACGAGGTTTTGCGCGCTTGTAGGGCGAGAACCTTTGCGCAAATCACGATTACAGCAAACAGGAATAAGAAATTTCAAATAAGAAATTACAAGAGTTTCAAGGACATACATTGCATTATGAGATAAGCATTATAAATCGTTGTAACAAATGTTGGTAACGCTGTGTCGCTCCTCTCACCGAAAACATAAATAAATAAAAACTCATGGCTCCGTCTAAGCAACACAAGCGTAAAAAGAAATTTGATTTGCATCCCGATGTACTCACGTCTTCGAAAGTTTCAATTCCCTTTTAAACAAATCTTAAGAGCTATGAACGATAACCAAGCGTATTCTGGAGTCCTCGTCTTAATCCATAGCTAAACAAAACAAAAGAAGACGAAGCAAAATCGGACGCCATATAAAAGAACTCCGTCATTACACTACTCAAGGTGGCGCTTTGAAAACTTCAGTATCGGAAACGCGCGTGGCGATCAAACAACTAGATGCGTTTGCTTTTTGTAGTGTTATAGACTACAAGCAATATATTGGCAAATACCTGAAGTTACAGCTACATTACAGACTTCCTTGCTACACCAGAAAGGGGCTTTCGTATGACTCCCATCGACAGTAAGTACATGCACTGAACGAAGCA